ACTTGGTGTATATGTACCTTGGGTAGACCTCTCTCAGATTTGTTCATTTCATGATCATATCTTCAATTCTCTAATTTTGGTGAATATTTTTGTCATTTTTGGTAAAAAGTGATATTTTCGACTTCTTGTTAAAAACCGCAAGTGCAATTGCTTTGATATTACAAATATAGGTACTACATGTCGACCTTTCTCAGATTTGTTCATTTTGTAATGATATCTTTAATTCTCTAATTTTGGTAAATATTTTTGTCATTTTTGGTAAAAAGTGATATTTTCGACTTCTTGTTAAAAACCGCAAGTGCAATTGCTTTGATATTACATATATAGATACTACATATGAACCACTCCCAAATTTGTTCATTTCATGATGATATCTTCAATTCTCTAATTTTGATGAGTATTTTTGTCATTTTTGGTAAAAAGTGATATTTTCTTCTTGTTAAAAACCACAATCATTTATGGTTAAAAATGATATTTTTGAATTCTTGTTGAAAACAGCAAGTCCCATTGCATTGATACTATGCATATTGTTCATTTTCTAATGATATCTTCTGTTCTTTAATTGAATTGTGCATTGCTAACAGTGGAGCTATCTCAGCCGATAGGCTGCTTGTTTTTGTAATTATTAATACCAGTAGGTAAATGACTTATGAATAATAAAAAAAATGATTTATTTCAAATATCAGTCAGTGTTTATATCAATGTACTGTTAAGTCTTAAACTATGTATTACAATATTAATTAATGGTGTTAGCTGACCCCTCATCAAGTTAAATATGAGGCTGAACCATGCTTTTATCAGTGATGCTCGTTGATATAGCAAGCTGTCAGTAGATTTTAGAGACTAAGACTGAACAGAAATTGCAAACATTATTGTAATAAATATACCAACTGTGGAATTTGTAAATATATGCATTACACCTTGTGCATGTAGATTCCAAGTTTATTCGAGTTTGTTCAGTAATCATGCACATATATATCATCAATTACTGAACCTGCTGCATAATAGGGCAGAAAATCTGACCAGGCTTTCAGTAATTGCTTCATAATCACGTACCACTGTATTATTTCTATTGTGTTATAATGGATTAGTTTTCCAATTTAATAGTCCGTCTAGATCTATTCGCATAATGGAGAGTCTGCACAAACAGTCAAGTGTGATTCATAACTAAAAGAATATTTGATTGTACATGGTTTACATTTAACACTCACTAAATCCCACTTGTGTACCTCAGCTTTTTGCTGCTCTGTACAAAACATATTAGCAGTATCTCAGCAAACCAAATTTTCACACATCTACATTGTATCGAAAAATATCATTGGCCTGAAAAACAATTCCATTGCACAAACAACACCAGATTCTTGAGACAACAAAGTATCTATTTTATGTGGCTTCATCTGAAATGATTAAGAAATCTAGTAACTTAAGGTTTACCTCAAATCATGTTATACACATGAGTGAACCCATAGATATGTATCTGTGCTGCTTCTGTGTTGGGTTAACACTTATCTTAAGGTTTGCTGTCAACTTGACCTTTTGTTCATGACATGGAGTAGGTTTGTGACAATTCTGCATTACTTGGACATGTTATTGAAAAGGTACACGTGAAACAAATAATGGGTGCACATGAACAAAACAATAGCTACACATTAACAAAACAATAGATGCACATGAACAAAACAATGGGTGTACATGAACAAAACAATGAGTACACATGAACAAATAATGGATGCACATGAACAAAATGGGTACACATTAACAAAACAATAGGTGCACATTAACAAAACAATAGATGCACATGAACAAAATGGGTACACATTAACAAAACAATAGGTGCACATTAACAAAACAATAGATGCACATGAACAAAACAATGGGTGCACATTAACAAAGCAATAGGTGCACATTAACAAAGCAATAGGTGCACATTAACAAAGCAATAGGTGCACATTAACAAAGCAATAGGTGCACATGAACAAAACAATAGGTGCACATGAACAAAACAATAGGTGCACATTAACAAAACAATAGGTGCACATTAACAAAGCAATAGGTGCACATTAACAAAGCAATAGGTGCACATTAACAAAACAATAGGTGCACATTAACAAAGCAATAGGTGCACATTGACAAAGCAATAGGTGCACATTAACAAAGCAATAGGTGCACATGAACAAAACAATAGGTGCACATGAACAAAACAATAGGTGCACATGAACAAAACAATAGGTGCACATTAACAAAGCAATAGGTACACATGAACAAAACAATAGGTACACATGAATAGAATAGGCATGCATGAATAGAACATAATAAATGAGTTAAATCATAAATCTGACAGTTATTTTTTCAGAAGTTGCAATATGAGAAGTAAAAAATGTTGGAACATTAATTTATGTGTTCTTGTTTTGTAATTTTCAGAACAGTCTAAAAACTGGACGTGATTACAAGAATTTAAAGAAGTCAGCGGTGGAAGCAAGCGGTGATGTCTATCAAAATGTTGGTGACATGAGGAGTATGTCTAGAGTAAGTGGAGGGGACGTATATCTATCATCTTGTGCCAAAATGCCATGATTTAGATTGGGGTGGTGTGTATATACTATCTATGTCCTTGTGTCCCAACCCTATTACTAAGATGGGGGGGGGGCAATATGTCCATCCCACTACCCTATTACTAAGAGGGGGGCAATATGTCCATCGCACTTGTGCCACTACCCTATTACTCAGAGGGGGGCAATATGTCCATCCCACTTCTTGTGCCACTACCCTATTACTGAGATGGGGGGGGGGGCAATATGTCCATCCCACTTCTTGTGCCACTACCCTATTACTGAGATGGGGGGGGGGGGGCAATATGTCCATCCCACTTCTTGTGCCACTACCCTATTACTAAGATGGGGGGCAATATGTCCATCCCACTTCTTGTGTCACTACCCTATTACTAAGATGGGGGGCAATATGTCCATCCCACTTCTTGTGTCACTACCCTATTACTAAGAGGGGGCAATATGTCCATCTCACTTACCCTATTACTAAGAGGGGAGCAATATGTCCATCGCACTTGTGCCACTACCCTATTACTAAGAGGGGGGCAATATGTTCATCCCACTATTTGCGCCACTACCCTATTACTAAGATGGGGAGGGGGCAATATGTCCATCCCACTTCTTGTGCCACTACCCTATTACTAAGATTGGGGGGCAATATGTCCATCCCACTTCTTGTGCCACCACCCTATTACTAAGATTGGGGGGGGGGGTGTCCCTCTATCGTCTTGTTCCACAACCATACTACTACAATGGGGGTGGGGGGTCCCATCTATCATCTTGTGCCACAACCCTACTACTAAGGGGGATATACAATTATCACCTTGTATCACAACCCTACAACTATGATGGGTGGGGGGTATCCATCTATCACTTTGTGCAACAATCCTACAACTAAGATGGGGTGGGTGGGGTATCCAACTATCACCTTGTGCCACAAACCTACTACTAAGGTGGGGGGGGGGGACTGCATATACCCGTCTAACACCTTGTGTAACTACCCTATTACTGAAATGTGTGGGGGGAGTGTATATATCCATTTATCACCTTGTCCCACTACCTTTTTACTTGGTGATGGGGGAAACCATCAAACTCCTGTGTACCACTAATTTGTTACTGGGAAGGGGTTGCATATGTTTATCACATTGTGCCCACTATCCTTTTCCTGAGGGTGGTATATAAACATCTTTCACCTTGTGTGACTACCCTATTACTGAAAGGGATATATATCCATATATCTATCACCTTGCATCCCTATTCCTTTACTAAAGTTGGACATGTATTTATCCACATACTTGAGCACTTTAGCTAGGTATACAATATTCTGGATGAGAAATAGCTTTGTTTGATGTGAAAATTGTTACTTTTGCAATGTAATCTAAATTACAGCTGTTTCAGACTTTGTTTGGATATTGCTTGTAATTTTGAAATCAGTAACATATACTACATGTGGTATATGTGTGTTCCAGTAAAAACATAGCCTTGTGAAATATCAGATGTCGTGTCACAATTAGCTTAGTAGTTTCCGGATTTCAGACTTTTTCAGGATGTGCATTTCCTGTCGGATTTCTCATTGTCAATTTCCATGAATCCATTAAGTGAGATCTTTTGGTGTATTGTGACGTTTCTCTGCCAACATTTCTGTTTTAACTGTGTTTGTACCTTGACCTCTTTGAACCTTATAACCATGCTTAAGGCTTTAAAGGATGCATGAGTGTGTAATTACTGTAAATGCTCCAGGCTTTACTAGCTTCTCTCTAGCAACCAGTAGCATTACGTCTGATATTACATCTGATCAGTTCACTCTCTTACAAAATAAGTGTCAGAGTATCAACAATCTAGTCTGAACAGCAAAATTATTATCTTCATTCACAATGCAAGCTGTAAAAGATGCATTAAGTGAAGCAGGTTGTGTAACTGATAAAGATTGACTTGGTGATTATCTTTGTTAAAATCATTCAATTGAGTTCCCTGGTCACTCCATTGAATAATTGATCTGGATGAGAGTACTGATAAATATTCAAATATATTTTGTGATAAGATTTTGCTTTTTTTTCAATACAAATCTTTGTGTAGTAATTGTTAGCATATTTTGCCTGTTGTCATGACAACTTGTTGATTAAGAGTTTGACACTTCTTGGGGAGTCAAAGATGTGATTTTTGTTTACTAAACCATGCTTATAAATTTAGTATAATTTGTATAATAATGGTCTCATTTATATTTTCTTATTACTAGCCTAATTTGCATAGTACTATCGATATCTCCTTCCAGTATATCATAACAGTTTGAATGTAATTAAAACAAATCATGCATGATATTTTTATTGTGTATTTCATGAGGCATTGACTTGACTAGTTAATTTACATCTAACTTTTTTTTCCTTACAGCCATCAAGTACTCTACAGAAATAGATGCAACTATCTCATTAATATTGTTGTCATGGTAGCAATTGTTACAAATATCAGCCAAGAAAAATTATGTAACTATAGTGCCAAGATGTATATTTTGAAGTAATTTCTTGATATTTTAGGTTGTAGATAAATATTAATAGCAACATAGAATTGTATATCTTTTATTGTGAGTCTAAGTGAATACTGAAAATGTATGTTAGTGATTTTTTGAAATGAAATGAACCAAATTTGTTGAAATTGAAGAAGATGGCCTGCCATGTTCCTTCTACACATTTCATCTTAAGAATACGAGAGGTTTTTATCCCTGGGACAACATACATACAATGTAATCAACCTTCAAAGACAAACAAAATCTACTAACCAAGTGTGTTCACAAATCTAGCTTAATTTAGTTAGCATTCATTATCTCAATATATGCTATATATATTAGCCAGGGGATGGTACCTCACAAATTTGAAAAGTGTGAGTATTTGAAATAAAATGAATTATAGTTATTGACGAAAAGCATAGGTAATTGACACACCTGATATGGTTTGTATTTTAATAGATATGCAGAGAATGTACTATAAAAGAAAAATTGAAACCAGGTTCATTTCTAATTGATAATTGTGTGTATATCATGTGTTCAAAGATTCAACCAATGGATAATTGTGTGTTGCTTTTATAAAAACATTATTCTGTTTTCCCATGAGTATTTTTATGACCAACAAATCTGTAATACAAAACCTTGCTTATGTGCAAACAATCTAATGTTTTGAGCATATTGATATGTTGTATCAATTGGATCTTACTCTGTGATTGTTATAAACTATATGCAATCACTTTAATTTCTTGAGTCAACATTCTTCAATATTGTTGAATCAATAAAATCTTGTCAATATGTTGATGTGTTTTATTAAACATCAATTGATTACTATTTGACAGTCGTGTGTAAAGCACACAATGAAAGTCTTTGCAGTAAGTTTGCTAAAAATATGTGCATATTAATGTGCTCATTAATTTCAAGATTTTTATAATAATTAATCAGTTTCCAGCTTTTCCAGCAATATCTCAAGTACCTTTAATAATTAATCATCACATTATAATGAAACTTAAGTCCTATTTAGTTTTTGGTTGAAATCTGTGCATAACTTGCATAATAATTACCCAATTTTCAAAAACCAATTATTGCATTTCAATTAGACTTGGTATATAAACAATGCTAAATACCTGATTAGTTTTGGATTGAAATTCAAGCATACTACTTGCCTAATTTGCATAATGTACATATTCGTCACATTTCATTGAATTTTGTTCATAGATGCGCTGTGTTAATCCAAAGATATTATTAGTTTAATGCTGAAAAACATGCATATTGATTATTTAATTATTAGGCATTTTCTGATATCTCAAAAAAGATTTAAATTGAACTTAGAGGGTAGAGTTTCTCTGGAATAATTTAGACTGAAAACCATGAACAAAGCCTAAAATGCAGTGAACATTTAATTTTTAACATTTCTTTTGAAATTATGCCAATTATTTATCAATCAATAGTTTGTATTGTAGTTAATTGTCAGATCACCCTTTTCAGAGTGTATGGCAAACTATTTTTGAAAGTCATGTAGAAAGATAGATGGGCCAAATTGATTTTAAAATCCTGAAATTTCTTGGATGAACCACTTACAGTTCAGCATCATCCAGTATGATTGTACTTTTCAATCACATCATGACAGACAAATTATCCTTAGCTGCAATAAAAAACGAAAGTATACAGTGAAATCATGACTACATAATTGCAGGTATATTGTAGTAAAAGTTCCAGACATGATTGACGATGTTCTAGATGAGTGTAGCTTCTTTATCTCCTATATATTTGGCCATTTTTGAACAGAGGTGTAAAGAGTGCATAATGACTTTGATTGTGCTCTTTTCCAAACAATATACAGTATTGAATTTGAAGAATTATAAGTTCAACTTATTTGTTTTCATATGGAAAGAGTGAGCAACTTTTTCTTAAAACTCGTCATGCTTTATGAACTCAGATATTGAGAACTATATTGTATAATTGTTTTAAGACAGCAAGCTGTTGTATATTTCTTCAGTCTATGTGAATCATGTATTTTCAGATCATGCCATGTTTTGAAATGCTTATCCATTCAGTTACTCTGGTTGATATATTTTTTGGTAATGTTTTTGTGTTTCAACTGATTTTTTAAGTCAATAAACGGAATTCTGTAGTTCTTCAACTTCTGAATAAAACCTACATATTGCTTCATGTATTCAGAAATAGACATTCTTTAAGTCAAATGGAAGGTACAAGTGCAAAAACAAGTATTTGTCATTAAATACTACCATATTTGGATTATTAGATTTCTCCTAGACAAATTAAGACTCAGGTTAATTAAACGATTTTCCAGATGTTACTTGAATGTTCTTAAATAGCCAAAGGAGGCCAAGGCCAAGTAAAAGCTAATTGAATAACCAGTTAACTTTCTCTTGACATCTACTGAAAGCTGTCACATAAAATTCGTGTTTGCTCCATTCACTCGTTTCATCTCATGAAGCAGAGACTGTAGGAAGCCACTACCCCTAAAACTGACTAATAAACTTTCGAAAAAGGCTAAAAAAAACTAATATTCAGATTTCTCTGCATCCTGTTCTGTAAGTCAGTCTGCTATTCTTGAAATGTCTTCTTTGCTTTGTTACCTCTCACTGTCGTAATATTAGATGCATATCCATACTTAGTAGTCTGTTAAGTAAAGAAATTCATCCACAGTCTTGGAATGATGGTATTATGTTGAATAAGCTATGATTGTTTTCATCCTATCCACATGTTCTAAGCATACAGGTCTGAATACTTGTCACCACCACCACCATGTGATTTGGAATAATGAATTTATCTTATTTCAAGAGTGGCTAATAGCTATGTTGCATTGTGTCTGCTATGAAACCGTTTTTTTTTTGACAAACATAACATCACTACAGTTGCAATTTGTGGCATATGTAGTCACTTCAATGAAATGTTTCATGCTTCATTGATTTAGCTACAAGACCATGCCATTTGGGCTTACTACTACTCATGACTGCAAAGATGAATCAGACTTCTCCGGAACAGATTTTAGGGTTTTTATGCTACTTGGTGGATCTTGGTGACATCTTTGGCTGATTCAACCAAGAACGCCATCAAAAGGCAACTACAAGACTGTCAAATAGCCAGCCATCCTGTGTTTAAAAGCCAAGAGATTTAACTGTAAAGAGTGGATAAAGTATAGTCAGAGGGATGGTAAAAGTGGTGAAAAAGACGATGGCTCTAAACACTAGCAAACAATCTCAAAACATGAAAAATATTGAAGGGCGGTGGTCGTCCCGCTGCGCATGTACGACATTTGTGTAAATAAACATTGATTTTCCAACAATCAAATGTGCTTTTCTAATGGAAATCAAAAGTATGAGGTTTTTCCTGGGTGTGACCTTTAATTACCACTAGTGATTTCTTTGATACCTTCCAATCATCTAAAAGTTATCTAATTAAAGCTTGGTAACCTCTCGCTTTGTACTCGTTGATCCGCGCAACAATCAAAGTCTCCATCTTTGTTTATATGAGACATGTGTATCTCGCGCATGTGTGGCATGACGACTGTCATGGACAATTGTGGTATTGGACTTCATTACACTACGAGATGTGACTCCATTGCATGTATAACCTTTTCCATCCATCATCCACACCAGGTACAGAGTTTGTGCAATTCAGTACAAAGTCCATTCCATGTTTCATTATCCTGTCAACTGGGCTGGAGGTGTCACCAATTACCCACAACATTCATCGCACAGCTGTAAAGGTCTTCCACTTAACACACCATATTAAAGAACCTAGTGCTAAAACACATACAAGGCTGACTAATGCAGAAATCTTTATCTTTGATGTACACATGTCCTCCTCCTCTTTCCACCTGTCATCTTTTTTAAAGCGTGCTCAGGCGAACCCTTTAAAATGTCCACTCTGAAATCATGACTTTTACCTCCCTGATCAAACTAAATGGTATTTCTCTTGCCTACACACTTTTGTGGTTTTGTGGTTGAAGTGACAGTAAATCTGTTCAACTGCTAGGCATAGAAATGTACTACAGAGAACAATACTTTGAAAAAAGGAGGGAAACTACCTGGACTAACCAACGAGTGCTGAGAAGCCTTTCAGTGGTTAACCATACCTTCTGACCATCTTGAGGCCATTATACCTGTCTGTTGGACAGTGTTAATTCTAACAGACACATTCAATGAAGAGTGGAGCACACACGCCGAATGACTCAACACCCATACTACACATACATTTGAAGGAACTGAAAAAGACTAGGGAACAGCAGATCGATTCTACTGCATGCACATCATAGAAGATAAACACATTCACTGGTATACAGAGACTGGTATACACGTATCTCTCAGATCAACACTTTCAGACAGCATTATAAAGACTATGTGCCAGTCATTTCAACAGAGCTCACTCTGGCCATAAAGGGCCACTGCCGAATTTGGTGTTTACATCTACATGGTGTTTACAAAACACAACATCTTTTTATATGCCACAGCTAGTTGATTTTGCCTATTATGCCAAATGCATTGGAAATATTAAGCTCTATGGTGACAAACATCAAATAACTGGAAAAATGTGGCTCTTAAGCTGGTTATATAATCACTATCATCTAATATAAGCCACGTAAAAATTCATGGATTACGACCTGGTCACAAGTAACATGTCCATTCATTGTTCTACAAATAAACTGCCATATGATTTGTCTTTTACTAGTCCCCAGTCAAGAGTTGTAAGCATTATCATTCGCTGAAAATCTGTTTCAAGCTGATTCAGTTACTTTTGCCTGTATCTTATAATTACGTGTTGTATATAACATTTATATTTATATTGTAGAATGGCAAATGCTCAATTTGTTCCACTTTTTGCTATTAAGGTTATTGTTATTGCTTCATGATGAGTCACAATCTTAGCATTAACTTCTCATTGTATCCAGGCATTTCTGTAAGTATGAAATGTCTAATAAACATACATTCCATGCTTGCAATAATGTTGCTACTTATGAATTAAGAGTATATTATGACTGTCACGTGGTCAATCCTTATATCTATATAGTGGTACACAGTGCAGTCATGTATATTTGAATAACAATGGTGGTGCTATCACAGTGCAGAAGGGTGGGCCACCCCCGTATTTAAAATGGATGCGCCATTATCCAAAGTGTGGCTAATGGCAACCCATGATTGGCTGAATTTAACTATGCGATTATGTACACCTGGGTATGGTTATATAAGGCAGTCACACCTTAGCCATGGGCTTCCTTTTTTCCACACGTGACAGTGACTCGCAAAGTAATTCCTTATTGTCATTATGTTTGTATATACAGCTACCTGTCTTGATATCACCTTTTTCTTGTCTCTCTCTTCATTTG